GACTCCATTTACACCAGCTGCAAAAAACTGCAGCGTCAAATAAAGGACGTGGGCCTCCTACTACTGCTACTACTCCTAAGACCACTACCACTGCCACTTCCACTACCACGACGACGACGACTACTACTGCTGCTGCTGCGACTGCTACTGCTGCTGTTACTGCACTGCTACTGCGACTGCTACTGCTACTACGACTACTACTACTACTACTACTACTACTACTACCACGACGACTACTACTACTTGTACTTCCCCTTCTGCTCTACTTCTACTAGTACGGTACTACAACTACAACAACAACAACAACAAAAACTACTACTACTCTTACTACTACTGCTACTGCTACTACTACGACTACTACTACGATGGCGACGACGACGACTACGATGACGAGTATTGCCATTACCAGCACCACCCGCCACTGCCCGTGCCATTAATTACCACGTAAACTACTACCAGACCACCACGACTGTTACTGCTGCTGCTGCTGCCAGTACTAGTGCTAGTTCCTGTGTGAGTGCTAGTGCTACAGCTCCTGCTCGTGCTCCGGCTCCCGCTCCTGTGCCCTCCACGACTATTCTCAGCGTTTAGCCATTGCTTATCGCCAGAAGTCCTGTTTGCGACATGGTACCCACCTGGCAACCTGAACCTCTCGAGTCCAAGGAACCCTAGACTGTTCTGCACCCCCTAATATAGTATATTATAGTATATTATAATATACTGTAATATACTGTAATATACTATAATATACTATAATATACTATAATATACTATAATATACCATAGTCTCAACACTCGAAATTCAGGTTTCGGTCCGCCAGTTCGACCCGATGCGACGCATCCGCTGGGCATGGCCCCGCGCGAAACCCGGCATAGCATCACCCATAGGCCCTAAAGTAGTTCCTTTTGGGGGTTCATATATAGAATCCTATAAGGTAACCCCAAAAAGGAACTACTATGGGGCCCATGGGAACACCGTTCGGACTGTCCGGGATTACAGTCTGGATTGGGGGATGTGAGATTTTTGGGTCTGGCGTTTGGGGGCTAGGATTCGGCAAGGATGTATTTTGTAGGTTGAAGAAAACCAGACTCTATCAGTATGACAAGTAGCAGCCGCAGCTTCCGCTTCGGGGTTCTTCACGAGTGTAAGTACAGTCCGGTGTTGTTGGGCAGAAGGAGCTTGTCATGGATTTCTCAAGATTTTCAAGGGGGCGACTTTTCGTATGGACACGTGAACCTTTTTTCCCAGACCTGAGCGCTTAGAAACAAAACTTCCCAAGGCCTGATCTCTGAACCACAGCAGGGTCCTCTGGTTCTGGTTTCGACGGCGTTTTTTTATGCTTCACAAACGTGACAGAGCCAAAAACAAAACGAAGTGTTACCCTAACCCCCCAGGTACCTACTGTATAGGGTACTGGAGCCCCTAGGGCCCTATATAGTAGGTACCTGGGGGTTAGGGCTAAGTGCCGACCCCGTCTCCCTGCAGAGCGCTGGAATCTTCAAATAAGCCCAGCATGCCAGGAGGGAGTCAGGGCAAGCTTACATGGCTTACAGAGCTATATGTACATTATACTAGGTTATGTATTGTAGTCTAGTATGTTACGATATACCATACATTAGTTACTATAGTCTAGTATACATGCGTGACAGAGCCGGAATGCAGGCAACGACGGAGTCACCTGGAGGTCCGAGCAGTCCTTAACTTATACTGATAGGACAGCGGTTGCCGAAGTAACCGAAGTAGCTCAAAACGGAAGTTTCAGAGAAACCTTAAACCCTAAATCCTAAACCCTAAACCCTAAACCCTAAAAGCGACTGAGGCCTGGCCCCTTTCCTGGTGCGGGATTTCCTCCCGGCGTGATGCCTGGCTCTCCTGGCGTGATGGCGGGAGGACTCCGGGTTGGAGCTTGGGCGTTTGATGTTCGAGGATCGGTGTGGGCTTTGGTGTTTAGGGCTCTTAGGCTTCCGTCCTAGGGCCTAGGGTGTAAGACCCTACCCTGTGGATCGAGTCGATGGCTACAAATGAAGGCAAAGATTCCGAAGTTTGCGAACCCTAAGAGAAGCAACTTCATCTCCGACAGAAGCCTAGAAGCAGCCTGTACAGCAACCCTTCTAGTAGCCTGTTTCGTGGCCCTTAAAGAAATCCTTTCAGAAACCCTTGTAGCAATCGTATTTGGTTGTTGAAAGCCCGTTCCCCGAAGTCGAACTACGAGGATGCCACGATCCCTTCCAAACCTAAGAAGGACTGGCAGCACCGTCACCCTCCCGGCCGTAGTCTTCACAAAGTCGTGTGTGAGAGCTGCCTGCTTGACCATCTGGAGCTTTCCATAAATGTAGGCCCTGGAATAGTGGCAGCTACTGTGACAACAGAAATACTCCGAACTGTGATGTTAGTAAGTCTCATGCCCTAAACATCAAAGATGGAGCTTGCAGCAGCGCACCTGACACACGCAGCTTTCAATGAGCTCGCACAATGCTAGTTTTCCACAAAGTCTCTGCAGCTGTTTCAGAGTTACAGGGTCCTCATGCTTCCATGTTTCGCAGAACCCTAAACCCTAAACCCTAAACCCAGATGGCGCAAGCTCCCAGAGGCTCCAGAAGCCCTAAGGTTCGAGCCGGGAACTTGTGGGCTCCTTGGGAGGTTCTTAGAAGGGGGATCCCTCCGAAGGAACTGTGGGGTTTAGGGTTTAGGGTTCAGGCTTTAGGGTTTAGGGCTGTAGGCGCATCTTGAGTCTCCCAAAGGAAGGATCCCTCTTTTGGAACCATGTGTATCATGCTGCAAGAACTGTGGCTGTGTTTCCAGCAATTCGTTTGGAAGAGGGCTAGCTCTGGGCTGTCGGCTGGGCTCTTGCCTCGGATCCGAAAGTCTCAGAGCGCCTGAAGCCACAGCCCAGTCACTTACCTCTGGTTAGTAGGGAATGGAGGAATGGGTACAATTATAGCTACTATTACTACCATTCTTCCATTCCCTACTAACCAAAGGTAAGGTCACCCTCAGTCTACTACCCCCCCGCTAATGACACAAAGTGCAGAGTCTAAGGGTCCATGTACCCAAATAGTATATACATTGGCCCCAAAGTACCTATATAGGGACTACATTAAGGCCAAAGTATATACTATTTGGGTACATGGACCCTTAGGGAGAGTCTTGTGGCGCAGGCCGCAAGCTGGTCGGGTCAAAAGGAAGTCTACGCCCCAACCCTGTAGCTGCCAAGCCCCAGATGGGAGTTTCCGGAAATTAAGGGTACCTTATTTTGGGGTCCTTATAGTAAGGATCCTATTATTATTTAGGGTGCTATATGAGGATCCCCTTTTTTCGGAAACCCCCAGATCGGGTGCAGCCGTTCGTGAGGGTCTACTATGGGGGGGCTTCTGCATCTCCGAAGCTACGGCTTTGCATTCCGAGCTTCGCATCTGACACACTGCGCCGTCACACCTTCGGGCTCAAGCCGAACAGCTCACCTCATGAATAAGGACACATCTGTGCTTGGAGCCCTCATGTTTCGCAGGTATAGTTTCGCTCCACAGCCAGCCGACATCGCAACACCAAGCCTCCGTAAGCTTTCACGACGAACTTTCTGCCATGGAGCAATTTTCATTCGCGGCGGCAAAAGCATGGTCCTTGGAGAGTCTGAGTGCTGCATGTTTGCTCTCACTCGGCATCATGCCTGGTGCCAACAGAGCCAGCAGCCAGCCACAGAGCAAAATCTCTGACAGTAGCCACATAGCCCCAAGCAAGGTTACTGGGAAGCACTAAGTCACTGGGCCATGATTCCAGGATGCGGTTGATGCTCTCCTCTGTAGTCTGGTGAGTTTGCTTATCGATGGAGATGCTAGCTCTTCTGAAAGTTGAGACTTCGCAGCCACTGTTGTGTGAAGCCGTCGTTCATCTTGCCCTGCGGACTCACCCCGGTTCATTCCTTCGAAACGTGGTGCGCACTAGCTGCTTTCAGAAGCGTGGTGCGAACTAGCTGCTTTAAGTTCACCCGATCTGCAAAACTGTGCATGCGGTTGGTCTGCAGAGAAATCGACACTTGATAATTCAGGCAGCTTTCAGCTGCACCAACGGAGCTACCAATACCTACCCCGTCGGCTTGCTTGGGCATGTATCGGAATCTTGCTCATCCCTAAGCCCCCAGTTGCCTACTATATAGGGCCTTAGGGGCTCTAGTACCTTGTATAGTAGGTACCTGGGGGGTTAAGGCATAGCAAACCCTTCCCTTTACCAGGCGAAATTCCTGGAGCTCCCGCCCGCCGCGCGCTACGGCGCTGCTTTCGCTCGAGACCCTGGATCGCTGTCTTGATATAAGCACTTCACTTACCGGAATAACTAGTAATCTGCCTGTGCATGTTGTTATGATGGTTATTGATTGTCAATGTTTTCAGCCACAGTCCCTTAAGCCTTCATGAAGCCATGGTACGACCCTCTCGAAGCGTTTGTGAGACCAAGGGCACCGATCTGTCGGCATCGTTCGGTTGGCCCGAGACGGTAAATCCTCCGTAAAGCCTTTGGATTTCGGGGCGTCCCTAAAATCAAGCTATCTCCCTGTAGGGGTCTGAAAAATTAACAAGGATCCTGCATTTCAGGATCTCACTTCGGGACCCCTGGTTTTCTGAATGTCGCGAATCTGTCTGGTTAGAGCTGCGGGCAGATAGAATGTCCAAGGCCCTGTGGTCATGGACTTTTGCATGCACGGGCTGCGATCGAGCTGCTGGGCTTGCAAAGAAGTGGGCGATCATGCAGTGGTATGGCATGAGTGTTTACCCAAAGCCCTCCTTACATGGAGTTTTGCTTGTTATGGTTCCTGTTCTGATTGTCAAAGACTTTTGGGACTTTGGCGGCGTGCTTGTTCAGGGAAATTCCAAAGCCTGAGTAATAGCCATTTTCCTGCTGATTGAGGCACCTCTGTGAACCCCGAAAGCCTGAGCCAAGGTGTACTTCATCGTCTCTGTGATGGTGTTTATCTTCGGGCAGCATGCTCGGCCAAAAAATGCTGAATATACGAGGGTTAGGCCCCACAATACATATGGCATGTGCTAGGTTACCAGGGATTACGCACACTACAACGTTTGCAGAAGGTTCAAGGATCAGTAACTATAGTGGGTACCTGGCGCCACAGAAGAACCATCTACTTGGAGCTACGATTCTCATTTCCCAGTCAGCACACCAGAGCCCCTAAACCCTAAACCCCTAAACCCCTAAGCCCTAAACCCTAAACCCTAAACCCCTAAACCCCTAAACCCTAAACCCTAAACCCTAAAACCCTAAACCCGCACCATACCGAGGTTTGCTAGAGTGCCA